ACTTGAAGCCGCGACCGCACCGCGCCCCCTCGGACTTTCTACATCCCACCCCAGATCTTGACGAGGAACCACTCAAACTCAACACATACCTAGAGAAGTACCTCTTCTCGAGTCTCTGGAACTTGGAACGCCTACCTTTTACAGAGTATCCCGTTCCCAATTCCCGTCGTCGCCTTATCTTGTACCCCTCGCACGCACGCGACACAACGCGCCTCACTACTCGGACGGATACCTATCAGCCTCTTGCTAGGTAGCTCTTGGAAACACAATCTTCTCGTGTCTTTGTTCCACCTCGTCTAGCCTTGAAGCATTCTGGGCCCCGTTCATCTCACGCCAAACTTCGCAATCGCTACCGGCCGTTGTCCGTCTGCTGGTGTACCTGATCATCTTTGCCCGCTGCCGCCTCCCAGGGTTCCAACAAGCCCGTCTTATCTCAACCGGCCTCGGCGCACCGTAGCGTTATCAGTCCAGTCCCTGTGGTGGCCCGTCTGCTGTTTCGTGTTACAACACAGGCTCACCCATAGGAATTCATCAAGATCGGATTACCGCTCGCCAGCCAATCTCATTTGGCGGATCCTGCATTGGTGCTACGCACACAATTCTCAAATCTCACGTCAACTCGACCACAGATATTCTTATTCCTCTGCCGTCGATCTCGAGTGGCGGCCCAGACCTAGGACCAGCACCAGGATCAAGCCAACGAGCGACATTGCATCACTTGCTTCGCATCCCATCCCATCTGCTGCACGCCGTGGGGCTCCTTTGAACCAGCTTCCATCCCGGGGAGTGTGTGCCAGCCTCTCCCGTCTGCTTCCTTGGCCTTTGACGAAGCCTATCGTCCTATCACCGTTGTCATATCTCCGGTTAACCCTAGGGAGTAAATTCACGCCCGCTTCATTCCCCCAATCTCCAGACAAGGGCCCCGGGACCCCGACTTGACGAACCGGGTCCGTCCGCCCGTCTGCTTCCCCTGCGTCGGCCCAGCCCTGCCTGTATATACATAGCATTGTCTCTACTGCCGCGCATTACCTATCCATCATGTCCAACCCAAGTGCCGTCACCAGGACGGCTCCCATCGCCATTGCACCAAAACCTCCCCGCCGCCAGAACTCTTATCTGCAAGAGGCATTCACGAACCTCGAACTTTTCCGCGGCGGCAGCATGCCTGGACGGGAAATCGCAGAGTCTGTTGGCTCATATACCACACGTTCACTCAGCCCATGCGAATCCTGCCAACGATCTAGGGTCAAGTGTATCGTGAGCGAAGACGAAGATAGCTGCATACCTTGCCAGGCTAGCGGATCCGATTGTTCCTTGCTCAACAGCCCCCAGCCAAGGAAACGCAAGCTGAACGGTGACTTTGACGACAGTGGTAAAAGAAGGTCAGTCTGCTCAATTTTCCCCTCTTCTCATGCTTTCATTCTCACTCCCCTCTCCTACCAATACTCACTCTCACATTGCTACTACTCCCCGCCTATTTCCCCCTCCTCCCTCCTCAACCACATTGGCGAGTCCGTCCCCCTACTGCTCCCTCCCCGCCAGCCTGGCTCGCTTCCGCTTGAGCTTGCATTTTGCGCCCGTTTGATGTTGCTTGGGCAGCCATGGGGGCACGCCGCGGTCAGGGGGGCACGTCTGATAACGAACCTTAATTTCTGACACGTGATTGGTCCATTAGTTCACCAGCTAGAGCCGATATCAGAAGGCGAAGGCAACATCAACCCAGCCTCTCCAGCACCACGGGAAGCAGCTCTTTTCTTGAAGACATGGCGAATGTCGGAGGCCCGACTCTGCTCAAGCGGACGCTGGGTCTCCAAAATGATCGCTATAGCCAGTACATAGGCCCGACGACCGACTTCGAGCCTTCTCTCATCAACCTGTCACCATTTAACCCTCAAGATGAGAGTCTACTGGCGCGCGGCACTCTGCGCAAGGTCAGTGACGATGACACGTTCCTGCTACTACCAGATTCCAACACCCCCGGCCACGAGCATATCCTCGAGGATATCGAGGAGATTGAGGGTCTCGTGCGGCCACATGGTCGCAAACTAGTAGACTTGTACTTCCGCATCGTTCACCCCGCCTTCCCGATTATTCAGAAGACCGTCTTCCTTGAAAAGTACGAGCGCAGTTACCGCGAATTTTCGCCTTGTCTACTAGCTGCTGTTTACCTGTTTGCCATCAACTGGTGGGAGCACGATGAAGAGCTCGCGCAAGTCCCTCGACCTAACATTCCTAACCTCGAGCGGATGATCCGGACAACTCTTGCCGACGCAATTTATCGCCCGAAATTGTCCACCATCCAGGCCGGTCTCCTTCTCTCCCAGCGACCCGAAGGCGACCAGTGGGCTCCGACTGCTCAGCTCGTCGCCACCGCCCAGGAACTTGGCCTTCACCTCGACTGTACGCACTGGAAAATCCCACCTTGGGAGAAGGGATTGCGGAAACGCCTCGCCTGGGCTTTGTATATGCAGGACAAATGGGGTTCGCTCGTTCATGGGCGGCCTTCGCACATTTTCTCCACCAACTGGGGCGTCCAACCGCTTACGGATCATGACTTTCCCGATGTCGAGTGGGACGAGAAGGACGTGGAGGAGAAATTGGATATCGAACGCGGTCGTACATTGTTTGGTCAAATGGTACAATTGTCGCAGATTCTTGCCGAGATTCTCGATACCTTCTACTCATTGCAGGCCATGCAAAACGTCACCAACGCCGGTGGACAAGGCACGCATCTGGTTTTGGGCATGGCGAAGCCCATACAACTGAAGCTCAAGGAATGGTATGCCAGTTTGCCAGCCGCCATTCGCATGGACAGCACGTATTCGTCAATCTCTGCCCCGCCAGGTCGTTTGTCAAGCATCGGATATCTTCACCTTGCTTACTTCGCCGCCGAAATCACACTGCATCGCCGTATCATTCGTTCGCTCGAAGCCACCGGGTCGGCTGTCGATTCCTATGTTCAGCACATTTGCCGAAGCGCGGCCAAGGCTCGTCTTATTTCCGCAATGGATTTTGTCAACCGTTTGAACACCTCGCACCTTCGCTCCTTCTGGTACTTTGCGTCCAAGACCAACTTTGCCCTCATCGGCACATTTGGTTCGCTTCTGTGGGCGACATCCCCAGGACGAGAGGAAGCCGATTGGTACCGTAGGCGCTTGGGCGAATACCGCTGGACGTTATCCGTGAGCTCGAAGCCTGGCGAAGGCAAAGGTCTCACCATGTTTGCCATGACGATGCTCGATATCTCGACAGGCCTGCTCAAGAAACTTCCTGAGAAGCCTTCAATGAGCCGCAGCGGAAGTGTGGTGGACATCGGACTTGGAAGCATTAGTAGCAGCTTTGCTAACAATGGCTTGCTTTCTCTTGGGCAGAGCGCGCCAGCAACGATGAGTCTAGGAGGATTTAGCGGACTGCCAAGCGCCGATGTGAGCAATGCTCAGAGCCCCCTCAGTGTGGACAGCAGCGATGACGAGATGTACGAGACGTTCGCCCCGACGTCGGGTATGGCAGGCTTGGCCGAATGAAGAGTGTAGACTGCAGCGGCGATAAATTGACCATCGCTAAAGCTGTAAAGGGGAGAATAATGACAACATGAAGAGACGAAGACTCGCTCAAGCGGGAGATGCCATCCACGAGAACGGAGCTTTTCTTTTGAAGGATTTTGGGATTGCATCATGATCTGCAGGATACCACTGGTTGATGGGCGGCGGGCCTCGCGAAGGCTATGTCAGAAAGTTGGAAAGAGAGTGATGGCCGCCGTCCACGACCTCATATTGATGATATTTCGGAATTCTTGTTTTACTTTTTGCTCGGGATCGATGATGCGAGAAGGGGAACCCAACGCGATTCACTCGGTTTCGGCGCAAAACACTCGGGAGGGATATATACCATCCATTATCTTTGAGCGGGACGAAAGTCGTAGCATCGTTTTTTGGAGGTTGAGCGATCCATACCTTGCCTTACATATTAGCATAGATTGCAGAGCTTTTTTGATGAAATCATATATACCTTGATGTCTTGCGATGGTTTCAGCCTACACACCTTGAGGGCTTGCTACCGTATTACGGTACCTTGACGTCTCGCCTAGTCGGTCAGGCTAAACGGTGGTGAATCTCACCTTTTTAGTAACATTTGGGTACGCCTGTTGAAGAGAGATGGAACCGAAATGCCGTGAGCCGCATTCATCAAGCTGATGATGAGAAAGCATGGGGTTCCATGAGCCTCAAACGGCGAAACCAGCACCCTCAAGTATCCAGACACGCACTCAACCGAAATCACGCAATCGATGGTGACATGGTAGCCATCAGCCTCGCCTTAACGACTGGCAACGAAAAGTCAAACATCTTACGTCGTCATTAACAGCGGTAATTATCGGCCTTAGGCAAGAGTTCGGAACAAGAAAGAGGCCAGTATCGCGGCTCGCAGCCTGCCGGTCCTGCGTGGCTGTGAACCCCCAAATCACGACTGTGATGACCACTTTGAGTGTGAGGTGCAGCTGGCACTGCGTGATGATGCTACTTGAGACGGCTAACCGGCACACGTAGGTCCATTTGTATATAATTCTCAACAGAACCGAATTCACAAACTACCGGTAGAGTAATTGAGAACATTTAGCATAGATCTCGACGTATAAGTCAAAGTGAGGCCAACGACGGCATTTTGTGAAGGTACTGTGGAATTCCCGAGCAGGCCTCATTACGTAATCCCGCTGTCCCCCCGGTGCCCCGCTACAACCGGCGCCAAATGTCCAAGGCAGCGGCGCAACAAGAACCCCCACCATCTCCGAAATCCCACCTTTCGACTCCTACAAGCCTGGGATTTCCCGTCCCGCCGGAACCCTTCTCCGCCGCGACTTTCCCAAGAACCAACTCCGCCGAAAGAACACCGTCGCGGGCCGTTCGCGATCACGATCACAACCAACACGACTAGCCGAACCTCCCACGAACCTCTCTTCCTTCGAAACTTCTATCGCAAACCCCCCCCCCTCAACCTCGCCCAAAATGCAAGGCTTCAACATGGGACGCTACGTCCCGCCCGAACACGAAGGCACGACGACAGGCAACGCCCTCGCCCGCAAACACCCCCTCGGCGCCCGCGCCTCCAAACCGGGAACCCTCGTCGTCCGCTTCGAGATGCCCTTCGCCATCTGGTGCTCCACCTGCCCGAAACCCACCATCGTCGGCCAGGGCGTCCGGTTCAACGCCGAGAAGAAGCGCGTCGGGTCCTACTTTTCGACGGCGGTATGGCAGTTCCGCATGAAGCACGCCGACTGCGGCGGCTGGATCGAGATCCACACGGACCCCAAGAACACGGCCTACGTCGTCGTCTCGGGCGCCAAGAAGCGCGACACGGGCGAGGAGGGGAGGGCGCCGCGGGAAGGGGAGACGGCCATCCTCACCGGAGAAGAACGCGAGAAGCTCCGCGGCAACGCCTTCGCTTCCCTGGAGAAAACCATTGAAGACCGGCAACACCTCGCGCAGGCGACGGAGCGCATCGACGAGTTACAGGACGCTGCCGACAGAGCTTGGGACGATCCGTACACGCGCAACAAGGCGCTCCGCGCGACGTTCCGCGCGGGACGGCACCGGCGCGAGAGGGAGGCCGCGGTGGGCGAGGCGCTGAAGGACAAGATGAGCTTGGGGATCGAGCTCGTGCCTGCGACGGAGGAGGATGCGCGGCGGGCGAGGTTGGTCGAGTTTGGGGGCGTCGGGGAGGGGGTTGACGAGGCGGGGCTGAAGGCTTTTGCGAAGCCGCTTTTTGCGTCGTCGTCTCCTTCGCCTGGGCCTTCTGCCTCGGTCAAGGACGGCAAGTCTACGACGACGACGGCTGGCAAAGCGGCGCTGCTGCCCAGGGGAACACCCAAAGCCCAAGTTCTCGCTTCCAGGAGGAGGGAGACCATCGTCTCCGAAATTGTCGGGAACACGCGCATGGCGAGGGATCCGTTCCTGGTCGAGACCAAGGGGGCGGCGGAGAGGCCGTCGGCGCCGAGGATCCCGGGGCTGAAGAGGAAGCGTGGTGAGGACGGCGGCGGCGGTGGTGGTAGTGGTGGTGCGCAGCAGAAACAGGAGTTGCCGAAGACCACGGAGCCCGAGCAGGGCACGCCTTCGTCCAAGTCGCTTGTGGCGTACGATTCTGATTCGGATTGAAAAAGGGGCCCCTTTATACTTTGATTGTGCGAGGAGCGCCTTTGGTTGGTTTGTGTGGCGTTTTAACGGATATGATTTAGAGCAGAGATACCCCGGACATTTACATTGGCGTCATTGTATTTTTACTACGGAAGCTTTTTTTTTTTTTGTTCACATAGATCAACTCGAGGGTGCATCCTCGATTGAGGATTACCAGAATGTGAACCTTCAACAAGCTCATCTACACCGTCATCAGCCGTATCTCAGGTGCAGTTTGGCACATGTTCTTGAAGATGCGCCCTCACATCGTACTCAGGACACATCCATAACACGCCACTTGGAGTCACAGAGGGCAGTTATTGCTGTTTGCATGACTGTTACCGACTACCTAATATAGCTCCTAGAGCCACTGTTCCGAGTTGATCGAACAAATTGGAATCCAATCTGGGGTGGTATGTATGCTGCGCACGTCCATATCGTCCCCATCGGTCTTTAGCAGCTCTCCTCGTGAGCAACGGTCATCATCGTAATCAACCCCCCATCCTATCCGCGATTGTCTCATGTGAAAACTCCAAAGCTGATTCCCATAAAAATACCCTTTCCTAGTCCCTTAAACACAAAGATGGTAGAATCCTGGCCTCGCTGCTGTTCGCTGGTGAGGGAACACTAAGTGCCCCTCAGCAGGATCACGTTGAGGAGGGTTCAAGAATGCCAAGTCCAATCACAACCCGGGGGATATAAGTCTCCTGCGACGCCATTTCCATGAATGCTCTCTCTAGCCGTGTTTCCCTCAAAGTTCCCGAGTGCGCCTCATACATCGTCAAGGCGGCCGGCGGGTTCCTCGTCATCGTCGCCGAAACTGCCAACGGACGACATGTCGTCGTCGTCTTCGCTCTCGGCGCCGGCTTCGTCGGCAGCATCTTTGCTTGCGTACTTTTGGACGTACTCTGAGCCCTCGTTAGCAAGCTATCTTGACCCCTTTTTGCCTTCTATTGCGTCGACGCACCCTTGACCTTGGCGTCGTAGCTCTTGGGTTCTCTTATCATCAGGGCAGCCGCCTCGCCGTTCAGGGGGTCCGTCGGGTTCGGGTATCGAAGAAGTTGAGGCAAGAAGACCTCGAAGATGTTGATCATGTCGAACATGGGCGACCAAGTCTGGTTGATGACATCCAGGCAGACGGAGCCCGACCTAAGCCATTTCACAGATCAGCCCCTTGCTCTGTTTTGCTCCCTCCCATACCACTTGTTCGTCCATATGTATCTCGGTCGGACGTTCTCTACTCACAGCTCGTCGATGTTGGGGTGGAAAATGCGATTCACGAATCCGATACTCGGTGACTTATAGGGGTACTGGTCAGGAAGCTCGACATGGACCTTCCAGACGCCGCCTTCGAATGGAGCTGCTGAGAATCAGCATAGTAAACTAATACATGGGTATTGGTTGGACTGACTCTCGGTAGGGCCCTTAAATCTAACGTAGAACTCTTGCCTAGGTGGTGGGGTTAGGATCGGAGGATGTCGTCGAATGGGTCTTAGTCTTACACTTGACGTGGTGTTAGTCGCAACAGCTCTGAATATGGGTTAGGGAGGCAACGTACTGTTGTCGTTCACCAGAGTAACCTCATAGTCACTCATCAACCTACAAAGGTCAGTATATCAAGCAGGAGGTGGTCGGTCGGCAAATCGCACATCCTGCGTCAGGTTAGCGAGCTATCAAAGGTATGGTGTGACTCGGGGCGCCGTTACTTCATGACCTAGACAAAAGACAAAGGTGTGAGCTTGCTGCACCATTATCATACAAAGACTTCAGTAGCGTCGTAGACTTACATCAGTCTCGATTCTTCTGCGTGGGCTGCTCATCTTGTCGGTTGCGCGGGGTGTTCGGACGACTGTTCGATCGGGGTAGAGTTGTAAGACGGATGCGGGGAAGGATGGATCGATGTTAGTGTCGAAGTTCCCCTATATATGAGGTCTCGCCGCGGGGTCTTGAGAGACAATGTCCTATACGGGATGTCGCTTGTTGTTGGTCTTGAAATCGTGAGGAGTGCAGTGGGTGGTTACAGAGAGGAGGAGAAGGTCGGATCGGGTTCCTGACGCCAAGTCACGCGCAATGATGATGTGGGCGATCCCGGACCATAAGTGATAAGTGCAACGATAAGGAATGGTGGGTCCGAGGATTAGGCGGCTAGGCGCGGATCTTGCCAGCCACACAGGTTCCCTTATTGTCTGTTAGAGCCCACTGCCCACCTGTCTTGGGCTCTTACATGACTAAGGCCATGCGGGACAATGCAAGCCTTAATCGTCTCGGAGGAACAATGTCGAAACTGGGGGTCGATGTTGGAGAGGCAATACGTTCCTCCAGTATCGAAGGGTTACATACAAAGCCGCAGATACTTTCAAAAAAAAGAGTTACTTGAATTCAATCGTCATTTCCTCAGGTTCTGTAGCGGCATTCAGTCTTGCTTTAGGTTGCAAGTATACAGCTCCAGCTGAACTCAACTCACCTTAGACATTCATAGCCAGATCAGCCAGCAAACACCGGCAGTCCCGACTATTAGAGTTCGCAAGAATGATGTAAGTCTTTGATGCTGTAAGAAAAAGCAGTACCATAAGGGCCGTTCCGTCCAACGACATCATCTGCTTGCGGGATCTCTTGAGACATTTCTACAAGGAACAACCCATCATCCCACGCAAGTACGGATCGAATGGACTGCAGTCGTGGGCAAGGTTGTACGCTGTCACGAGCCAGGAAGGAAACGCCGTCTTCTAATGGGAGGGGGGGACTATCCGTGATACCGGCCGTCCGTCACTTCCTTCTACCCAGGTATGCGGGGACTTCTACGCAGTGAAAGCGGTGTCGGTTGGCCATATTAAAGGCTAAAAGTCAACGAGAATAGACTCCAAAAAGTCAAGTCACGCGAGCGCCATCATCCCAAGCGTCGGGTTCGCTAGCCAGCTTGTCCCGATCTGGGCCAAGGGAAACCTTGGACATCCCAATGCCCGTCCTCGCGGAGGGCCGAGATCAGAAACCGCTGGGCCCGAGGCAGAGTTGCCTCGGTCTTAGCTCACTTACCTCAGCAACGGGCCCTGAGAGGATCAGCATGGTACTGACGCCCTATGGACCAGGACGATAAGCGCAGCACGGCTCACTAATCCCTTCCCAGAACAAAAGGTACGTATCCGTCAACAGACGGCGATGGACTCTGGAGGGGGAACCACCGAACGTGCCTCGGCGCCTTGTCCAATCACGGAGGTTGGTCGCAGGTGGACCGGACACCGTTCCCTGGACCTTGGGGGGGACATTCACAGCGAAGCGTCCAGCACGGCACCTGTATGGTCAGCTTTGTGAGATCGACCCGCTTTTACCATCTCTAACCCCCAGCCCAGCGAAGCGGCGGGAACGAAACACCACCGGTAATTTTGGAGATACTCAATTCTACGCAGCAAAAACCATCATGACTTGGATAATAAAAGATTGCGCTTCGCCCTTCAACGCAAACTTCTCCTTATTTTTTCTCTCCACACTGAAAACATCAGCATCATCACGACCAAATTTGCATCTTTGCATTCTCATTTTTTTCTGCACTTGCATATCCCTTCCATACGTTTACTTCTTATTCAAGACAAAAAGGTACTTGTCTGCCCATATGTCTCTCCCTACAATCCGAAGTACCTGTCTGAGGTCGTGTGCCTCTCTTCTGAGAAGCACGCGACCCTCGACAGCAGCGTCTCTGATGCGACCCATGTATTCCGCTGTCACGCAACCATTCCAGATGCGACACAGCTCGCATTCTCCCATGGGTACAACTTCTGCCAACCAAAGAAAGAAAGTCACACTTGGTTCTTTGCGCAGTCTGTACAAGAAGCGCGAGCCAATCACAGTCATGACTGCACACGACTTCCCCAGTGCCCACGTTGCCGACCATGCCGGCATGGATATTATCCTTGTGGGCGACAGCTTGGCCATGGTTGCGCTTGGTATGGAAGACACGAGCGAAGTTGTGGTAGAAGAAATGCTGCTTCATTGCCGCTCTGTCGCAAGAGCCACCAAGTCCGCATTTACTGTAAGTCTACTCTGGATCTAATCTGCAAATATCGTACTGATCCAAACTCAGGTTGGCGATTTACCCATGGGCAGCTATGAAATAGCTCCGGAACAGGCTCTGGAAACTGCCATCCGCTTCGTCAAAGAGGGCCGCGTGCAAGGCGTGAAGCTCGAGGGTGGCAAGGAGATGGCCCCCACAATCCAGAAGATCACGTCCGCGGGCATCCCCGTTCTCGCGCACGTGGGACTGACACCGCAACGGCAGAACGCCCTGGGCGGCTTCAGAGTGCAAGGCAAGACTTCCGACGGGGCCCTGAGGCTCCTTGAGGATGCACTCGCCGTACAAGAGGCCGGTGCTTTCGCCATGGTCATCGAGGCTGTTCCCGCTGAAGTCGCAGCACTTGTGACGGAAAAGCTCTCTGTCCCAACCATTGGCATCGGCGCCGGCAATGGCTGCTCCGGCCAGGTCTTGGTGCAGGTCGACATGACTGGAAACTTCCCTCCCGGCCGATTCCTGCCAAAGTTCGTCAAGAAGTACGGCGACGTCTGGGGCGAGAGTCTTCGTGCCATCGAGACCTATCGGGACGAGGTGAAGAGCCGACAGTATCCTGCACCCGAGCATACCTATCCCATCTCCAAGGAGGCGCTTGACGAATTTACCAGCGCTTTGGAAAAGTTGTAAGGAGCTGACCGCGTTCGGTGGTCAATAGATCGTTTCTTTGCGTCACTTTCGTGCTGCATTACCGGTGTTTGGGAGTCTAGAGGGCGGAGGCATTTTCATCGTTTTTCAGCCATAGGATACCATGTAATAGCATACTTAATCTCAGCCGAAGGCTGGATTCATAGCATAAGAAATCACGAGCTGACCGCTTGAATCTTTGAAGCACTATCGCAAGCATGTTAGCATTTGCGTCTGCCATTAGTAATAACTGCTTCATAGACGTACACTATGCAAGTTACCGACAATCTCGTCGAGGGAGGGGGCGAAAGAGTCATTGACGTAACAAAAGACGCTGTCTGTTTCTTGAAGCTTGAGCCTCTTGCGCAGATACCAGATGACAGTGTGGAAGGTCTGGGTAGATGAGATCTTGGCCACCCCTCGAGCGAGCGAGGGTGCACTTCCGACAGCCTTGAATTTGACGACGACCTTGTCTGAAAGATACTCGCCTGCGCTGCTCAGAGCAGAGGCCACATCGCGAGGTTGAGCTATCAGGATGGCTGAGGCGGACATGGTGAGTGGCACTTCCGGAGAGGCTGGGCGATCTGGAATGGAGGCAGGTGGAGGTGACGCCGAGTCTGACCTCGGGATGCCAGGCGACGATGGGGTAGCCATTTTCGGATGCTGCGTTGCTATCTAGAGTGGATGCGTGGTCAAAGAAGTATAAGATGAGTAAGGTAGGATAAGAATCGAAAGCGATGTTGAGCTAGCCGAGTCATCAGACACAGGGAGGTTGTTCGGATGAATAGATCGTAAAGAAAGGAAGGAGGTGAGGTTGGAGATGAAAGAGTGAGACTGGCCATTCATTGTGTGCTAGGTTTAGCAGGTGGTTGACCGGGGCCCCGTAAGTGGTCACTGCCTGAGTGCGCCCTGGGCGGGCTTGCCAGGCACCTCGAGCACCTCACCTCAAGAACCTTCTGTTCTCCAGATACGACTACACGCCCACCATCAATTACATACTTATCCAACGGAACTGTCTAGACCAATTTCGAACCGTCTCTTCATCATGGCCTCGCGATGCTACAGGCGACTGAAATTAAGAGCACCAAATCCGATAATCTTGTAGGCCAAAAAGTTTGGACAATAGGCTATCTGGCACCATGCATGCACGATGATCGCAGAGTACCGTACTTGGAGAGAAAGATGCAGGAAATCGATGCAGCGACCCTCGGCTTCAGGCGCGTAGCCCTGAATCGACGTCTCTCACTCTCACCGCATAAGCCGCACCCATTACCTTACAGAGAGCACAATATGCCGTGAGCAACACTCGACCGAGCGAGCGATTCGTGACCACGCCTTCTGCCGCGGAGAGCCAACTCGTAGTCGGGCTACCAGTAGCAATTCACTTCTTCTCACTTCTTCTCCAGGCCTGCTTAGTGTCAGAGAGGCATGCAGACGTGACACAACCGTAAGAAGTCATCTCTGATTCACCTCACCTTCCTTATTCCTACGCCACACAATCACGAAGGAGATGCTGCTTGCCATTATGGTCATGGGCATATTTATAAGGCGCATTTTGTGCACTTTGGATTGTTTCTTTTCTCAAACATTCTTTGAACAAGCAAAACGCAATTTCTAACCTTGCCTGCAGAACTTTGAACCCCTTTTAAGATATTGATCTCATCGTACCCCAGGGTCGCCCAAATCTACCAAAATGGCAACAACACATGCTACGCTCGTGCGCAAGCAAACGCGTGATGTCAAAGACTTGGGAAGCTTGGCTTTTGTCTTTTCCTTAGACGGCTTGTATCTCGACGTTCCCGCCGTCATTGCTGTAGCGCGTCACGGGCTCGTTCCTCGCGTGAAGGATGACCAACTGATTCGAGACCGAATACGCCAGAGTATCAACGTCCTCGATCACCATGTGGAAAACGGCTGGGTCGTGTATGGCGTCAACACGGGCTTCGGCGGCAGCGCCGACTCACGGACGGAACAGCTCAAGAAACTACAAATCTCTCTGCTCCAACACACCCAAAGCGCCATCATCGCCTCCTCTGACCTGACCGACAGTCAGGTTGATCAAGACGGACAGTCCCATGTTATTCCCACAGCTTGGGTGAAGGCCGCCATCGTAATCAGAGCGAACCAAAACCTCCGCGGCCATAGTGCCGTCAGGCTGGAGGTTATCGAGGCACTTCTCAACCTTCTACGTCACGACATCACGCCGTTAATTCCTTTGCGAGGCACCATCTCGGCATCCGGGGACTTGATGCCCCTATCTTACATCGCGGGGACTCTGATTGGGGACCCCAACATTTCCGTCACCGTTGGATCAGGCCTTAGCAGAAAAGTCATGTCTGCCCGCGATGCATTGAAACAATATGACATACAGTCTGTTGAGCTGCAGCCAAAGGAGGGTTTGGGCCTGATCAACGGGACTGCACCCTCTGCTGCCTTGGCTGCGTTGGTAATCCACGAAGCGAACCAACTCGCAGTCCTCGCCCAGGGGCTTACTGCTTTCACATCCGAATGCCTACTTGGTAACGTCGAGTGGACCAATGAGTTCATTCATAGAATTCGACCTCACGATGGACAGAAAGAAGTGGCCAACAATATTCGCAACTTCCTCAAGTCTTCCAAGTATGTGACTGGTCTGGAAGGTAAGAAGCGGACGGGCCAAGGTCTATGGCAGGACAGATACTCAACTCGAACCGCGCCACAGTGGATGGGTCCGTATCTCGAGGACCTTCAACTGGCACATAGGCAGATCCGGACCGAGCTAAACTCAACCTCCGACAACCCAGTCATCGACATAGGCGTCGTCGGCGATGTGACCGCAGGTGATGTGTACTCTGGAGGCAACTTTCAAGCGACCGCCATCACCTCCGCCATGGACAAGACCAGAACAGCGCTGCAGATGATCGGGCGCATGCTCTTCTCGCAGTGCTCCGAGCTGATCAATCCGGCCACGAACAACGGTCTCGACCCGAACCTGGTCTTTGGAGACCCTGATCAGTCCTATACTATGAAGGGCATCGACGTCAACATGAGTGCCTACATGTCGGAGCTGGCTGCGCTCGCGCATCCTGTCTCGTCACACGTCCAGTCGGCCGAGATGCACAACCAGGGCATCAACTCCCTTGCGTTCCTCTCAGGCCGCCGTACCATGGAGGCCGTCGATGTCTTATCACACATGTGTGCCGCTCACCTCCTTGTATGCTGCCAGGCAGCCGACTTGAGAGCCTATCACGAGAAATTCCTGTCTTCCATATCTTTGTTGCCTTCCATGACGAACCTGGCCTCCTTGTTATCGGCAGACATGGACATCAAGAGCGAGGGTCAGACGACTGAGACAACGACGACAAGAATTGGATTGGACGAGCTGGTAAGAGTGTGGTGGTACGGGGCAAACAAGTACAGCCACACCCAGCGCTGCTCGGTTGTCGCGTCCAAAGCCGCCTCCCACATCATGGACTCCTTAGCCCACGATGGATCTAGTTGCGTCTCATTGATGCAAGTCCTGGCCGTCCGAGACGAGTTCCGGCAGACCATGGAAGCGTGGGTCGCCGACCCATCCAACAACCCCAAATCGAACTACACGTACCCTGAAGGCCTAGGCCTAGGCTCTGCAGCGCTCCATGATTTCGTGCGCCAGGAATTGCAAGTTCATTTTCACCAGGGCCTTAGAGAAGAGCAGTCCAGTACAATTGGTACCAGCGTTTCAAAGATTTACGAGGCAATTCGCCAGGCCACCGTCGTTCAGAAACTGTTGCCCTGTCTCTTTCAAGAGGACGGAGAGTTGGAAAGATATATTTCCGAAACCCCGGCTGACAGCGGATCGTGGCCTCGCGGCTTCCCGAGCCATGCCCCGTTTGATGACCGGTACCTGCCGATGTCGCTGGTAAATGCGCGAGAACAAGAAAGACTGAAGAGGAAGCGGGAGGAGTAGGTCTCGCGGTGACTTTGGCTCTTCACCTTTAGATATAAGATAGACATTGGCTAAACTCAGCCCCATTGAAATAAGAAGAAGTAGAATATTATTGAGTACTTGACACTGGATCCTGAGCACTGGAATGAGTTGTCAAGTGTTGGCGCATGATCCATGTGTGCATTTCAATATAATATATCGCACTCAAAAGTGGCAATGAGCCGTCTTAAGCTCAACTTAAGCTAAAATAGAGCCACCCCCAAAGCATTCGACCTCCGTTATCTTCTACTTCATTGACTCAACTATTGAAAAAACACGTTCTCATTAGTTGCACGGCTACATATGGACAGATTTTGGCTATTGAATGAAGCGTTGCGCGAAACAACACCGGTATGGTATAGCATGGTGTGTATTTGTTAGTTAGAGTCGAGCGGGATAGGCGGTCGTGCTTCAATAAGACAGACGCAGCCAAGCAGTCAAAAAAGACGATTTACACCTAACCAACCAAACAAACCACCTCAAACCCTCAAAAAACAACAAATTCACACAGAAACGACTTCATACGTCCCAAAGAGCAAAAGGAACTGTCCCTAGCAAGGCTCGAACTTGCGACCTTTGGATATCTCTAGATGATCTAGAGTCATATGTATGGATATGAGACCAACGCTCTACCGACTGAGCCATAGAGACTGGTTTATGTCATTGTTGCCTTGAAAGCTTACTATGACCCACGCAGACAGAGCCCCGCTGGACAAAGTTATCCCTCCCCACTAAACGAGGGCCGTGTGATGGTGGGGCTTTCACCGCGCGGTGCGGCACGCGCAATGCGCACCACTAGGGACGCAGATACATGGAAGCTTTTTCGCCTGACGTGTAACCGAGAAAACGAACGCGTGGGAAAACAGAACCGTCCGGTTCATAAAAGCTATGTAGCTTGCGCATCGTCGAAACCTAATTTGCACGACGAGCCCCATCACTATGGAATTCCCATTTCTTCACCTCATTTCGGAGACGACGATTTTCGGGAACCGAAGCGGTCCTCAAATAAGTAGCTTTGTGTTGTTCTGCCTACCTACCTATCTAGACCAAGCTTGGGCCGCTTGTAAGACGCTGGTACGCAGGCCGGTGCCTTTCTCGTGACGAGACTAGAATGAATACATGATAGCTTCTTGAAGTCGAGATCGTGGCTGTCAATGCACCCCCGGAATCCGGAGATTTGATGTACTTGTTAGTTCGTTGCGTGCTCGAAGGATCTGACACTTAACAGATCTTGGTCTCCAAACTGACCCGGTGACATAATCAAAGCCTGGAATGCACGATGACATTCATCTAGGATACGATGGGGTGTATGAAATGCTTGAATTATCCTCAACGCCTTGTCTGAATAACACAAACACTCGGGCTGCTTCACGGCACCCGCAGCATCCTACTTTCCCAAACCATGCAGCTTTTTTTTTTCGTGTTCAACGTACAATATACACAAGCATAGACTGTTCAATGTGATATCTACACCGTGGTTCATTAAGACGCGCCGTCCTAGTTTCTCCTCCTATCGGATGTACGGCCCCTGGTGGTAATGATGCTCATGGCCGACAATGTGCTGCCGCCCTGCCCGCGCCAAAAAAAGGGAAAATTGAGCCGTCGTGGTATAAGATAATCCATGCCAAACGCCACTGTGCATGCAATGATATCAATGCGAGCCGACCTATTAGTGAAAGACGAAGTGAAGAGAAAATAAACATGACCGGAAACCAACCATGGTTTCATGTTGGACAGTCTACTGGTATCATTGATTCCACAACAGTGGAACGTATCCGTAGCTTTTTGATGATAATGCGCCGTGCATTGCAGCGGCAAGTGGGGGATCGAGAAGAACATTGGGAAGCAGGGCAGAGTCGGTGTCAAAGTGTTGGGCGACATGACGAGGAGTCCATGGGTTGGCCTGGTCTACAAGGAGTCGTCCGTGTATTCGTCGTCGCGTGAGTGTTTAGATCGGTATCTGGGAACCCGGCCCAGTTGGCTGAGAAGGTCGTCCAGCTCAGCCCAGTTGTCAGTGTTTTCGGCAAACTTGCGATGCTTGCGTGTGAGAATGTGCTTTGAGCTGTTAGCGTGACAGTATTATCATTCAAGTCCCACTCTCCACATACCTCGTCAAAATCCTTAAATTTGTCCTGGCAGTTCTCACAGTAGCCCGGCTTCAGGTCGCGCTTGCTTTTAGCCGGCGGAGCCTGTGTCTTTGAGCTGGTTCTCGAGAGCTTGGAGCTCTGCTTCTCGACGTCCTCCTCAATGAGCTCCATACGCCTGCTGGTGGTTCGAGAAACACTAGTAGATCTGGTAGACGTCGCTTCCAGAGACATCTCCGTGAGCCGCCGGGAGCTGGCGTCTTGGGGAACGGGTGCACCCCGCTGCAACACCTTGCGTTGCAAACCATGCACCTCCTTACTCGTACCGGCCTTGGCTCCGTTGATGCCAGAGGTGGACGAGATCATGTTCGACCGGATAGCCGAAGTCACATTTGACGGCTGCAATCCAGAGGCGACGGGCTCGCCGGCCAAGAAACGCCCGTTGCCAGTCCGTCCAGTGAAAGCATGTTGAGTCCGACCGAAATCAATCGGGTTTGATACCACGGCCTTGGGAGGGTTGAACACATCCATAGGCTTCATGGCAGCCCGCAACTTGTTCTGGCCCTCTTGCATCTCAGAAAGCGAGCGCTTGCCAATGGCTGCCTTTGGCGCAGGCACTTCGGGAGGCTGGAGAGACGGGCTCTCCTCGGCCGCAGGTTTGGCGACACGCTCCTTGTGTTCCTTTGGATCCTTTTGCTGCGTTGACGGTTTCCTGCTGGGCCGTTCAACGGGTTCTGGCTCCTCGACAAATGGGCATCGGCCCTCGGTAACAGTCCTGAACTGCGGCCACTCGCCGTGGTACTTGTTATTGACCTTGGGATACTCCCGCACCATGATAGGCTTCTGCTTCTCGTCAATGTCGTAGATGTAAATATATGGCCCCTTGAAGTTGATCATTTCCCGGCTCGTGACAGCATCCGAGGGACCGTTCAGCCGCTCATGCTGCAACAGTTGCAACAGACCGGGCTCCTCCGTAGCCTTCTTTGTCCCTACGTTTCTTGCAGAATCGCGGTTGGCGCCATATGCCGCGACGACATGCGGGTCAGGCTCCAGCAAAAACTGCAATATCCTCTGGAACTTTTCCACCGACCAAATCTTCTTTCCCATGTCCCGAGCCTTGTGAAGAACGTCGTTGCTCTGGGTTGATCTCGTCCTCCGGGTTCTGTCATCGTGAGCTTGAGCTCGCCTCGAGGTCGTCTCTAGCAGAAGACGTCTTCGTGCATCGGTAGACCGGTCGAGAAGGGAAGGGTTGATGGTTTGAGGCTGCTCCTCGAGTTCGGCGTCGTGTGCAGCAGCTTGCACGTCTTCCTGCGCAGGTATCGGTCGGGCGGTCACTATGTGGGTGATGCTACTGGAGAAGAATCGTTCGTCTCTCTACACAAGAAGTTGTCAGTGGATAGAAGCCAACAACATGGTGGCTGGCAGGCTTTGCACATACGGCTCCAAGAGACTGGGCTTGACGGGTAAGCTTGGCCCTCTGGTCTTCCGGGACACTATCAAAGTAAAAGACCATCTTGGGAAACCTCCCGCGGTACTCTGCCTGCCATTGGCGGATCCTCTCGACGTTACTCGAGTCATCGTGGTGTGTTGATCGTTCCTTTGTTATGGGACGGCCGACTCGCTGGGGAAGCTGGGAAGCCTTTGTGACCTTGGAGGGCGACCGAAGCTGACGCGAGCCGACATTTTCGACAACCTGCTTCTTGAACGGGGGCGGCTGGGCGTAGAGCTCCTCCCGTTGGATGTTGGCATGAGAGCGCTTCTGTTTGGCGTGAGCCAGAGCAGAAGCGGCTCTCAAGGGTGAATTGACCACATTGGGGTTGCTAGACAAAGGCGTTCGTCTGGTGGACATGGCCGAAGGAGGGATGGGATTCGGTGATAGGGATATGGCTGCCATAAAAATGCCCAATCAATATGTTTGATGTGAGAAGGCTGTTGAAATATTATCGGTCGGGTCTGAGTGGTTCGGAGGCGCTGCAAATGAGAGAGAGGACGAGACAGAACGTGAGTATCTGTGTTGGTGGTTGTGGTGGCTGCGAGAGGCGGGGGGGTTTGCTGCTCTGTGGACAAGCACGCGACGTGGGAGGCTACTACACGTCGCTCACGCGTTCCAACAGAGACCGTGTCGACAAGTTCACCAAGACATTGAAGACGGAGTTTGAGCCTAGAAGAAGTTGCAAAAAACCACACAAGCGGAAGAGAAAGGAGGAGGAGGGGAGGGTATCGTCGTCGGAGTCGTCGTGGAGGGCAGCACCTGAGAGGTGTGTGGTGAATGTGCAGAGGAAAGAGCTTTCTTAATCAAGAGAGTGGTTGGTGTTGTGTGTGTGTGTGTGTGTGCGTGTGTGTGGTGGGAACACTGGGAAGAGAGGCTCCCCCCCGTCGTCCACTCTTACCAGACCGTGGCCCCCCGGGCTTACCCAAGGACCCATGGCCAGGACCCAAGTCGCGCTTGACGAGTTTGGGAGGGGAACAACAGCGCTAATCCCAGTTGGACTCGCCCAAAAACACGCACGGGCCAGACCTCTCTCCAGCAACCGGCCAAATTTGCTTGGCCCACCGCGTCTTGCCAGTCAGCGGTCGCAGTGGATGCAGCCGCTGTAGTACAGGCATAGCTCGCTATAATTCCGGGCATGGTCCCTACCTAGGTAGGTATGGTAAGGTCTCCGACTTTAGTGAACCTCTCTACCTTACCTTACCTAACCTACCTTGGGTACCTAGGGAAGATGAGAACCCCAGGCCCACCTCCCGTCAACAATAACAACCTCTCGGGCAAGGCACCTGGGTGCTAGGCGACAGGCTGTCTGCGGGTGGATAAAGGTGACAGGCTTGCAGACGATGGAAATTGGATGGAGCTGCCAGTGTGGAAAAACAATAAGAAAATCTTGCTGCTTCTGGGGCCATGTTGGGGTCCATTCCCCGGTGCATCTTGCATCTTGCCTACGCAATTTGTTCGACAGTGACCATCATAACCATGTCTTGACGGGCGGGCATTCGCATCTTGTCAGGTACCTTTTCACGCTTCAGATAACCTTGAAAAGTTGACATAATACACCACTGCCTACGCAGTATGTACTCCTTACACAGATACAGGTAGTATACGTACTACCATGTCCATACAGATTTGCAGCAGGGTGGCTGGACGGAACAAGCTATGGGATGTATAATAATACGCATGCAGATGCAAAACATGGCCTGCATGCCTTCACTAAATACATAAAAATAACTTATACACAAGCTCTCATTTTCACTGCAAATTCTCATCCACTCGTCATTGTGGCACGATACCTAAAGGGGGGGGGAGCATCTAGGTTACCCCGTCTCACAAAGTCCGCTTGCGCTCGCCATTGACGAGTCAGCAGTGAGCAGGCACCCTCACAAATTCTCCTGCACCGTATCCGTCCGTACCTTGTGGTTAGCACCTCCGGTAATGACCTCATCCGAACCGTAGAGCCCGTCCATTTTCCGCATCCACCGAAACCTCCCTTGTCTGACTCTCTCTCTCTCTCACCTCGCACCCACCACTCACATCACAAGTGACTATACCCGGTCATGAACGTCTCACGGCCGGTGAGCCGCGCCCTCCGTGCCGTCCCGCGGTTACGCCCGGCATCGCCATGGCGGCGGCCTCTACCACCCTCCGCCTCCGGTGCCGTCGCCGGCCGTCAGCTCCGGCCCTACTCCGACGTCTCTGCCGCCAATCTGCAGTTCGGCCAGCCCGTACATGAGACTCACCCTCACATTCTCAAGGCTGGAGAGAGTAAGTCAGCTCTCACCATTCTCACTCATACATCTTTTCATCTCATGATTGCCTGCCTACCTCAAGTGAATCTCATAGGAATGGCCCATGAAAACAAAGATATCTTACATCCTCAACCTATACCTTAAACTAACACCCGCCTCCAGTCACACCAGGCATAACAGCCCAAGAATACCACGACCGCCGCGCCCGCCTCGCCGAGCGCCTCCCGGACAACGCCGTCGCCGTCCTCGCCGCCGCAGACCTCAAATACCGCTCCGGCGCCGTCTTCTTCCCCTACCGCCAAGACTCCAACTTCCTCTACCTCACCGGCTGGAACGAGGGCGACTCGGTCGCCGTCATCCGCAAGACCGGCAAGGACTACGGCGACTACGAGTTCCACCTCTTCGCCAGGCCAAAAGAGCCCGTCGCGGAACAATGGATGGGCGCCCGCAACGGCGTCCAGGCCGCCCTCGACATCTTCAACGCTGACAAGGCGGACGACATTGCCCGCATCGACCGCTGCCTCCCCGAGATCCTCAAGGGCGCGAGTCGGGTCTACACCGACATCCCGAGGCCCGGCAACGAACAGAACTCGGCCAGCAACGGCAGCAGCAAGCTCGTGGCCAGCCTCATGAACTCGGACAAGTCCTGGTTCCCCTCCGTCCGGATCCCGCTCTACCCCGTCATCAACCAGCTCCGCGCCATCAAATCCCCCGCCGAGATCGCCAACATGCGCCGCGCGGGCCAAATCTCCGGCCGCGTCATCACGGACGCCATGCGCCGGTCCTGGACCAGAGAAAAAGACCTCCACGCCTTTTTGGACTACCGCTTCGCCGCCGACGGCTGCGACGGCCCGGCCTACGTCCCCGTCGTCGCGGGCGGACGCAACGGCCTCTGCATCCACTACGTCGTCAACAACAACACGATCCCCCAAGACGAAATGCTCCTCGTCGACGCGGGCGGCGAGTACGGCACCTACATCACCGACATCTCCCGCACCTGGCCCGCCGCGGGCAAATTCTCCCCCGCGCAACGAGACCTCTACGAGGCTGTCCTCGCGGTTCAGCGGTCCAGCGTCGCGCTCTGCCGCGAGGACGCCAACCTTTCTCTAGACGAAATCCACGAGCGCACCTCGGCGGGCCTGCTCGAGCAGCTGAAGAGCCTCGGCTTCGAGGGCGTCACGCCGCGCGACGTCGACGTGCTCTTCCCCCATCACGTGGGGCACTACGTCGGGCTGGACGTGCACGACGTCCCCGGCTACGGGCGGCGGACGCCCCTGAGGAAGGGCCACTGCGTGACGATCGAGCCGGGCATCTACGTCCCGGACACGGACCGGTGGCCGGAGCATTTCAGGGGTATGGGCGTGCGGATCGAGGATAGCATCTGCGTGGACGAGACGTCGCCGTATATACTGACGACGGAGGCCGTGAAGGAGGTTGCTGATATTGAGGCTCTGAGAGACTAGAGCAGAGGAAGAGGGTGGGTTGTGCAGACGGGTTGTGTGGTGTGGTGTACCAACATTTGTGAAACCCTGTAAACCCCCGTGTATCCATCGCTGTAACAACAAAGTAACGATACCAAAGTGGCACCATAGAAGGGTGCCGTTACACAAAGAGAAGCCATTCCGCTTTTGCTGGTTGAGCATCACCCCGTTTCGTCCACCTGAGAAGTCGCAAGAGAAGGGACACTTATGTGGTTGCAGCGTAGTCTCACACTAGGCTGGCGTCGTATGAGCATTTTCTCCACTAGATGGGATCAGGACCCTTGTTTTCTATCGGAGCTTCGAAGGCCAAAGGGAAAAGTTCGTCGTTCCCAGCATAGACCCGGTGGGGCTAGTTCCTGTGCATCAGCAATGGCCCTGTTCGCCTTCTCGAAACTGAGTCCTCAGGTAGGATTTGGTCCAAGGCCATGTTGGTCGGCTGATGCAGAAGGATATTAAGCCATTCTCATCGCGGTGTAGGTGGCCAGTGTAAAATGTATGCCAAGTTGTCGTCTTAGTTAGTGGCGGTTGAGTATTCACCATTCGCCTAGAATAACTAGTGTTTGACTAAAGTGATTTGGAGCGTTGAAGTATGTTTTAGCCCTCAATTCTTGGAAAAGCCGCTGCTGGCGATTCCGATGCCGGGAGGTAATGTCATCAGCTTCAAGAGTGGTTAGGAACTATAACACGTAAAGACGGGAAGGATTCAGGAGGTTCCGCATCCTGATTCAGGACCGCAGCAACGGTAGCTGGTAGGGCCATCCTGAAATCAGCGAGAAGTTTGTGTTTTTCCTTTGACTGATACTTCTTGCTTCAAGGGGACCACTGCCTTCGGGCCTAGTCTCATTCACGCCGAAGTTCATCTGAACTCGAAAAGCCTCAGACCCCACACATCACCAGGCACGACGCCATATCAATCACTTTAGTGGTCAATAACCCCATATTCTTATTCCCCAAAGAGCTCCATTGATTCCGAACGCAGTAAAACATTTCATTGCAGGTCTGACAACCTGTGATTATTCTTAATATGCCTACTCATTCCTCGTAGATTGACCACAATCGTATATTTTGGGGGGCAAATCGCAGCCCATGACAAACGTAATATGTACAGTTCGCAATCGTAATGCGTCATGTGATGAGAGGGGGAAAGATTCTTCTAACAGAAACCTCTTGGGTCGAACAGCGTCCTGCTGTAGTTCGGCATGGGGAAGGGCTGCCGAGCCTGTGCGCTCAAGAGCTGCTCAAAGGCCTGCAGGCGCCTCGCGAGTTCCTGGTGCTCACGCATAATGGCCTTGTTCCTTCGTTCTAGATAGTGTATATATTCAGTCGCCTTCGTGAGGACGGTGCCCTGCCGATGAGTGTAAGTAAATGATTTCGCGCTTGTCAAATAGGGGAAAACACTCCAGCTTACCTTGCTAACTTTGGGACCGCGCTGCGATTGGCTGTCAACCTCAGCATCCTCACCACCTCCTTCCTCGGGTATTGACCTCAGAGACGGCACCGCGTCGCGCAGCTCCGAGATTCTGTCTTTGAGATTGGTACGGTACTTCCTCTCAATGTCGTTGTGTGCCGTTCGATCACCAGCCTTAACTTTGTCTTTCGACTTTTCGGATACGCCAGTGGCATTGGTGGTGCTCCGCGATACTTGCGGCCTCTGGGTGCCGGGCTCCTCCTTGATGGGGGCCTTTTCCTTTTGCTTGCCCTTGTGAGGAGCCGATTGCTCGAGGTCGTTGGCCGGGTCGTTCATACTGCCTGACGCCATAGTGGCATCGAAGTTCTCCAAGCTCGCAAATTCTGGACCAAGATCTGCTCCGACACCAAACCCCATACCGGATCCCAGACTGGTTGAAGATCGCCCCGTGTTGAGCGCTATTGCTAGCAAGCGTCGCTGTTCGGGGTCAAGCATAGGCGCACCCATGGGACCCATTCCCCCCATTCCAAAAAGGGGGTTCATCCTTAGCCCAGGCGCGGGCTTTTCCCAGCTCAAGGGCGTCGAGTAAAGGCCCTCCCTAGGTGGTACTTCCTGAGGCGGCTGAGAATCAATCTTCCCGAGCTGGTCGCCGAGGTTCATTGATTCCAAAAAGTCCTCATCATCAGAAAGGGCATTGTCGAGCGCAGCGTCATCCATGAAGTCCTCTGGTTTGAACACAGGGTTGGTGTATAAACCGGCACCCAGGCCAGGTGTAGTCGACATGGGGTTCAGGCGATTCGCAGCGGGCCTAGCAAATGTCACTTCGTTAGCTTTTCTTTGATGATCAGTAAATTGTCCTTGGCTCAAACTATCTTACCTAGGCCGGTAATTCGGGGTAGGGTTGCTACGCCTTGAAAAGTCGATCTCAAAGCTTCCACCAAGCTTCTGTTCCTCATCATCGTCGAATTGGATCCAGTAGTCGACCGATTCCAATGCAGCAGCCTCCGAGTCGACCTTGGTCCGTTTCCGTGCATGGCCATCTCTCCGCCGGGGATCTTGGTTCGGTGCAGCGCGGCTCGGTAAGCCTGAATTTCTTTGTTGACCACCATGGTTGAACTGCATTTGAGTTGGCATGGAGCCGAGCCCAAAATTCGTGCTGGCAGGCGATGCCTGAGCAAAGGAAGGCAACGAACCAGAGGGGCCATTGGACGTCGACTCAGAGTTTGCAGGGTCGCCGCCTAAGGACTCCCACAAGGAGTTATCCGGCGCATTTCTGGCAGCACCTGTGGCGGATGACTCGGCAGTCTGCTCGGCCGAGTTTGTCGTCTGGTTGTTGGGGACAGCAAAGTAGTCGAGGTTTTTGAGAAAGTTGGGGTCCATCACAACGCCAGCATTTCGGCCCCCGAAACGTCGGCGGTCGTCGATCTAGAAATCGATATATGCAATGTAGAGTGGATGTACAGCGGCTCGATCGCTTGCCGAATAATCCTTAAGCACTTGAGGCCCGGACCTCGTACGCTTCTTGGTCGGTGAAAGAGTTTGGCGACTCAAGATGGCCAGTCGTACGACCTCGTGTAGCCAATCAAGGCAATGTAGTCGTCCAATGGCAGCGAAGGCGATGGGGACAAGCAGCGAGCAACAGTCGTCGGGGTCGGCGTTGGCAAGGGAGGCAGGGCAGGACGCAGTGGATGAGCAGAGACGGTCGTTCGCGTTCGTGTACCGTCAAGAGTGTGCCGCTCGCGCAACAGAGAGCAGGCAAGGCGGGGATTTCGCTTATTAAGATCAGCACAGGTTCGAATCGTTCAAAGAATTGTTTGGCCTTTGCGAGTAGGCTTGTGAGGGCGTAGGAGGCAAACGAGAAGCACGGGGACGGACAATAACAAGATCCATCAAACACGGGGAAGGACGAGAAAAGAGTTGAGGGTTGGGGAGAGGAATATGTGGAGGCAAGGACGAAAATGACTGGTCACACCTTACGTATCCAACAAGGGATCTGTGGGAGGCTGCAGGAGGTTTACGGAGGCGGAAGAAAAAAGTTGAGCGGTTCAGGTGATTTGATAGTGATGGTGGTGCTGTTGGAAACGGCGGCAGTTCGTAGGAGAGCAGGCCGAGAATTGCGACTCGCAGGAGACAGCTGGAGCTCTGTAGCGGAAGGACGAAGACGAAAGTCGGCTGATATTCAAAGACAGGAAAAGTGACCCGCGCCGGATTCCGTGAGGGAGGGGGGGATTGACTCGAATTGACTCGGGCCAGGGCGGCCGAGTAGGCAAAAAAACTACTCCGGCAGAAAAGTGTGCAAAGGTTTGGCAATTGGGCGGGAAAGAACGATGCAGGATCGGGAGGAATGGCCTGACATCGAATTTGCCAGTGGCCGGGGCACACTGGCTGAGCGTATCAAAAATCGACCACTTCATCTTGACAATCGTATGATGAACGAGGCTGCTGGAGGGGAGTCGTGCGATGGGCGCCGAGCTCCAGCACAAGGGTCATTCATTGGATGTGCGTCGATCCGGCCCCACCACACCGCGCCCTCGTTGTCAGCCTTGCAAGCTGGCCCGAGCGTCGGCCCAGAATAGACTTCCCGCTCCGTTAGGGTCCGGCTTCTTCTGGCTTGGTCTCCCCCGGTGCCCCCCCAAAAAATTCCCTAGACATCTTTCCCGAATTGGTGTCGGTCCAGTCAAAACTGTCCACCACCTTTCGTCCCCCCTTTGAATTGAAGCAGGAGCGTGATTCGCCTTCTCCAAACCCATACTTGCCGTGCTCCTCGGAGCGGGACCGGCGTGGAAGTTCTCAAACGTCAGGAACACTACGGAGTACTCTCCGCTCCTCCCCTTCGCCGTCATCGCCCAATTCCGCCCCCTGCCAAGATACTTCACCTTGCCTCGAACAGACATGCGCAACGGTTATGCCGCATTTCCAATGGAAACTTGGTGGTAGAACCGTTTGTGGCGGCGGCACCCACGTGGAACGGTCGAGACAAAATGCCCCAAACGTCGTTGGCGCCGTTGAGCCAACAATGCGCAAAGACGTCTAGAACGTCTCTGAATGCATCTTTTTAATTGTTTTTCCTCCCTTGCGTTCCCTATGGCCCCGACTTGCGTCCCATCGTCGGTCGACAGGCTTTCTATCATATAAGTTTGTTCGATTTGATGCTGCCCCAATCAAGTTTGCTGCAAGTGCAGAAGCTCTCATGCTCGTATCTGCATCTAATTGTCGGCCATCGCTGGACAATACAAACTTCTGTCAAAGAGCATCAGGAGCGGCAGAGTCGCTGGTATCACGGTAGTGAATGAGAGCATCGATTCCTCAGATTGTATAAATACTCGCTCCTCGAATTCCCAATACTTCCCAACAGAATCACACAACTCATCCTCTTCTTCGCCTTACCTCCTGCGTCATCAATTTGCCCTCGGTTTACCGTCGCCATGAAGTTCATCACGAGTATCGCTACCATCCTCCTGGTTTCGACCTCGGTCATTGCTATCCCAGCCAGCCCCATCGCCACTCCAAACCCTCATCTCGAGCCAATGTGGCCAAAATGCGTCAAATTTTACAAAGCTACAGGAGGTGAAACGTGCGACTCCATCGCCTCCAAAAACAACATCACAAAAGCCGATGTTATCGGCCTGAACCAGGCCATTGGCGGCCTCCGTGGATGCTCAATGAACAACATCTTTGAGGGTTACTGGTACTGTGTCAAGCCAGATGGCTGGTAATGGTCTTGCCACAAAGGCGTGAGCGGTCTCGCAGGATAGGCGAACTTCACACGGGCGAAAGATGGAGGACTACCTTGGTGGCGGATCAAGCGAGGCTTCGCATGGTGCCAAGCTACTTTGGCATGATGCTGTCAATGTTGCCGACAAGTGCTACTTACAGATACCAATAGCCAAAAACTTTATCCCAGTTTCGCCACATTTTTCTCTCCCCGTCCAATTGTTCAGCTTCTTCAAGGTTGGCTCTGATGTGTGTTGAATCAACAACCGTTCGAAGAGATCTTATCAGACCTTGCGAGGGTTTGGGTCAGCTTCTCTCTTCTTGCAATCGCTACACTTTTCCTTGATATGCAGTGTGTCATAAGGTGGCTTTGATCCACGACATTTCGTGCCGAATTCATCGCAAAATTTGAAATCATAGAAGCCTGAATGGCCGCAAGTCCACATCTTTTTTTTCTCCGTGCACATCTTCCTTAGTCTCGACTGAGGAACCCGCGACTTGATGTTGGTACCCTCGTTTTCGTGGGTACTGGTTCTTGCTATGCTTGCGTCAGCATGTCTCTTTTGCTTTTATGCCGGATTCCTGGCTTCATTGAGGTTTTCTACAAACTAGAAGATGTATATCCAAGACAGCTTAGTGCTTGCAAGACAGAACGTGACTCTCAAGTCGATTGTGTGGACAGATTGCTCCGTTGTCTTCTTGGGTGCCCTGCTTCGAACTGTAGAATCGCGAGCTGTCTGATAACAGCAGGATGGGTTGCTCTGTTGCCTTTCCGTGTGCTCTGCTTCGGACTCTGGGGTCGCGGGCTGTCTAATAACAGCATGAAGCTGAGGCAGAAAAGGCACTTCGAGGTCGAGCTTCAAGGCATCGGGTTCGCGGAGGAGGGACTCAGCGTAGACTCTCTGACCGGGAAATAAAGCAATACAACAGAAGTGCTCAGAGGGAAAGAATCAGTTCGGTAGGTTCTACTGAACATCGGCAAGGCTGGTCTTCGGCAGAAAGCGATGCAATTAAACTGTTCAGAGCAACAGGAGATATTCAGTAGGTTTCCCTGAACAGCAATGAGATTGTTTCTAAGACACAAGGCAGCAAGTTCAATCTACAAAGAGAGGGACAAGATCAAAAGGAGGTCAATATATGCCTCTCTCGGCGAAGGAGAATATTTGGCGTTTTCCGGTGTGCAACCAATACCATGTGGTCCAGACCCCGTCGGACGCCTTACCGCGTTCCGCGGTACTGGAAATGACGAATCGAGACGCAGGCAGCAAGGGAAAAGCAGAAGCCCTTCGGTACATCACATATCAGAATTCTGCAGGGTGACTTGACAGCTTGGAAGGGGAGAGGGGGGAAGGGGGGAGGAGACCGGGAGTCGGGACTTGGACTTTCTCGTCAGCTTCTTTGGGAGCATGCCACCGATGTCCGTCGTTCCCAGTGGGCCACAACCGACGTCACTTCGGCGAAGAACTACGGGATCGGTGGGCCCTTCGATGTGTAACCTATCAAACGGTCGGTTGTTGGGGTCTTTACCCGGCTAAGTGCAGAAGAATATTGTCTACGGGTATGGTTTCACGAAAAGGCGGTGGGTAAGGGTACGGACATCTTTGTCTTCTCTTGGCTGTAAGTACATCGAGATTTACCTCAGACGCTTTCCCATGTTACGCGCGCGCTCTCTCTCTCTGTCTCTCTACTCTCAAAGCGGAGAATCTTTCTGTTAAGGATGAATGTGCGGACCAAGGCAGTGAGCAGTAAAGGTTGTTGTCAAAAGGTGGGGGCGGACTGGGCTCCTGATGATGCTTAAAGACCCTAGATCCCTGTTGACTCCTCTGGAGTACCATAAGCCCCCCCGTCCTGGCCCTACACGCACTGTCACTCTTTGATATGTGATCTGCTCAGGGTGTCAAACGTCAAAAGTCACCTCGGTGTTCTGTTTTGTTTCTTTCCAGCCCAAGAAAGGAGGGAAGTATGTATGTCCCTCTGCAAATCTCGCAGGTTTCATGCGAGAACGCGCTTCGGGATACAACCTTGAACACTTCCCCGAGGAGGTCCATGTTGCCGCAATGTTTGGTACGCTTGTGGCTTGCCGGTCGACGACCCCCCTTCCCCCCTTCAAGTTTTCTCAAAGAACCCCGCTACTGCGAGCTTCTGCGCGAATGGGCTGATGTGGATGGCCGTTTGCTTGCACCATTTGTCAGACTCACATTCGTAGACATGCATGGCAGCGCACGACTGGCTTCCTTATGCAGCGTATAGTCTTTGGAGTGAGAAAATCCATCCGAGTGGAGGGAGGTCGGCGCACTATTTCCTGCAGGGTCGGTAGAGGAAAGCCGGTTATCCATGTAAAGATGCTTCTTTGGACTCGGGTCTTAAACGTAGGCACCCGGACTGAGTCTCTTTCGGTCACAGTTGTTTGGAGCAGTCCCCGAGATGTCGGACCTCGTTGTCGGTTGAGAATAACCCCAGCTTACAGCCTCCGAAGTTTTTGGGGGTATAACTCTCAAGGCCACAAGCCGTGATAATTCTTTGTCTCGGCGCCCAGTTTTTTGGGGCAATTGGGACACAATGTTCAAACGGTCTGTCCCTGACTGAACACCAAGTAATAACACCAGGCAATGCGATGTCAATGAGGCGAAAGATTTCAGAGTGGTTCGCAATATGCTCTTGTCATACTCATGAGCTAAATTTGCTGTTTTCCAGAGCTAAACTAGCTCTTCATACTGTTCCTGACGGCAGCCAGGAACGAGGCACTGAAGAATACGCGTCCCGGATGACGGATGGTGATTTTCTTATATAGACCGCATTGGTGATGATGTCGAATGAAAGGCCTTTCGTGTAGTACGACCAAGGCCACATTTAGACTATTTCTGAAGAAAACTCCTTAGAGAGCACGCTGACCTTGCCTTTTTTCTCGAAAATCTAAAAAATTAGATGCCGGGTTTGACTACTAGTCATATCTTTCGTTGTATGCCACTTTCTGGCCTATTTCATTCGCTGACTAGCCTAGATTTGTATTGTTTCCTCGGGATCTCTGCTCTAAAGTCATTCGATGCTGCCGACTGCTTGATCATATTCATATAAGATCAACGAGCCCAGGTGACCACTTACTTGTAGATACTCATTCACCAAGCCATCTTATTAGATGAAAATTCCAACCTGTGTTCTTAAGAGTGTGCATTGTTGTATTCAGACAAGTTCCGATTCATGAATTTAGGTTCTCTCCGAGGTCACCAATGGATCTGATGTAGCTCAAACACTTCGTCCCTTGAACGCGCTTGGTGCCGTCCTGTCCCACCCATTCTCACCATGACTCAAGTTCGTGGCGCCTTTTTATACCGAGAACAGTCTTCTGAGAATATTTACGTATGTATCAGACTGAAGGAAGAAAGTTAGGGAACTTACCTCACTGCAGAAAAAGTCGGGACAGTGGTGAAATGGAAGGCACCATGACCTTGCCTCGTCATGGGGGACACGGTCAATGGGAAGGGGCGAAGTGGTGGCTGGCTCTTTCCGCTTTCAAAGCAAAAAGCCTCGGGTTGAGGAAGGCACCTTCCCGATGACAAAACCCCAGATCCCATGATCCATTCCTTCCTCTTTCTACCTTCAATTCCATGCCAAGTCACTTCCCAACTCTAGAAGTTGCCTCATTTCGTTCCATTGTCTTTCTCCAACAACTTACGGCCGAGACTCGCAACGTCCTTCCACACCCACTCATCTCCTCCCCTCACATATCCTTGCATCTGACCCAGCGTCGCCTCGCCATATCCCACTGGCTGCGACATCAATCTGTCGATTCCCGTCTCTAGTCTCTCTACTTCCCTCTGCTCACTTCAACCTGGGACAAACAACGCTAAGGCGGTGGAGGTGACAAAATGTGGTGCAGTGTGCCGAAAATCCTTTTGGGATTGCTGTCGATTCGGGCATGGATCGACGGTGTCGAAGCCTTCTCTTGGGGAGGTGTCGAAAAGAGAGCAGACACCCCCCGGTCTTTGGAAGAGCATATGGTCAACCCGTCGGTTGTAGTTCACGACGCATCACGCTTGCCGAATGTCTACGCCGTCGCCATGCAGGAGCTCCAAGAACTCGAGTCAGAACCTCTCTGCCATCGAATCGCTGCTCGACTCCTGGTCAACAACTGCCAGCTGTTGGAAGGCAAAGACGACGCCACCGTTCTCACCGACAGCGGCAGACAAATCCGTGACTTTGTGGACTCATATGCCGCCAGTCTTGCTATCTGTGATCTGGAGAGAGGCAGTTTTGTCATCCCTTCTGGATGTGCGCCGTTCAGAGAACATGCTCTAGCTAACCTACCGACCTCCAAAGTTGCTCAGCTTCACGTCTCACCTCGGCAGATAGATTCGTGTCTCTCGGGGTTAGCCAAGTCCGACTCTGCGTGGAATACTTGGGTGAGCTACCGTCATAAGGCTCTCAGATTCTGCGAAGCTGCTCGCGCAGATAATGACAAAGGTAATTATCTATCCTCCGTACATAGGGAATATTTCTAATATTGCTGCAGCACAGAGCATTCGTCTATACCAACGTCTCACCGAAGTCCTCTCAAAACTGTCCGAGGGAGTTGAACAAGAGCTTGAAGCCCACCTACATGGGATCAATTTGAGAGCAGCTGAGACTACAGAGCAGCTCCGCCAAATGAACCCAGACATCGATCAGTTGCGAAACAGCTTACAAGACCTGGACAGATATGTTTCTCAGGACGTGATGCAGATGGTACAGGTAGGTTCGCCACACTCATTCCCGAGCACTGCAACTCAACTGACTGAAAGGCATCAAATTCTGCGATGCGAGGCGGCCTCGAGGATGCCCAGAACCTGCAACAGCTGCTGACGGTGCTCCTCAAAACGGTCCTTAGCAGCAACGCCGAAGTTGCAGCATCGCATGAGCTGGCACTGACAGACTTCAACGAACGAACTGGAAATGAGGTCGCGGCTGTCATGGCTGCTCTCGCAACAGCTACAGCATCGTCTACATCCCTTCATGGCCAGTTGGTAAGCAAGTTGAGACCGACCACTTGCTTTCTAGACTGACATCGAATAGGAACTATCCCACATTCGAGCGATTGAACTAGCTCACCGACAAGATAGTCTTGAGAAAGTTGGTGAAGAAAGTCTTCTGCAAGAATCAAACATGCCGCTGACTATTTTTCAGGGATTGGAGAAACTCCTAGACATTACCGATGACATTTCCTCGAAATACGAATCACACTCTGATAAGCTTTCACACGTGAACCAGATTTCAGAAGACCTGCTGGATACACTTGACAATATGGCTTCATCGACATCAGAAGTTCGCGGTTCTTTCCATCGACCGGGTTGGACAAGTTGGGTGCCATATGTGGCGTGCCCAGCCGCGTCTTTACTCATGGGATCTTACGGTCTTCCACCATCAGCAGTGAGAAACCTCGGACTAATTGCGCTCGGTATGGTGTTGACACATTACTTTGCAAGAAAAGGATACTGATTGTAATATGCTTTATAGGCGAACTTGCTGGCTTCGTCGTGTCTTATGCCAAATATCTCTCGCCGGGTATCCTCGAGGCTGATCAGTATATATCTCCAATTATTGGCGCCATGAACAAGACCTTCATTTCCACGGCGTCCCCAAATTATCTTTCCAGAGATCTGCCGCTAATTCAAAGCAATATCCGAGGATCGACGACGACTTGAGAGCTGCTGGTTGAGAGCGACATTCGACATGAATCTCCAAATCGAAACACATACAAAGTTTATGACATCTGGGCAGGGCGAATTGTTTCCGGCGTTTGTGATTATATCTTTTACCTTCCTTCTTGCTTTTCGTTGTTTTTTTGCGGATGGGTTACTGGACTATGGTCATTGCAATCGGTGGAAATTAGTACTGGGAAACGGTTGCCTCTGACATCATTTCTCGCATATGAACTTAGCAAGTCGCCTATTCGGGCACTATGCACTTTTAACCGGAGTTTGATCATTCTCATCCATTCATCTCCCCTTTTGCTATCTTGTGTGCCTATATCCCAGTGCAAGGCAGACTGACTGCGGGGAAGTGCATGAAGGCGTATTACTGTCTTTCCTCATAGCCTGACCCCGACCGCCAGCTAAACTTTGCCGTTGTCTCCAAACACCCGACCGTCTTGAAGCTGCGGGATTAACTCAAGACGAGACGAAGACAGCGGCGATGGCGGACAAGGTCAAGATCGCGCTCATTCAAATGCACCCTAAGGTCAGTAAGTCTAGGACTACCCCTCATCGAAAATGCTTAGCCCAGTCTAGCTCCCGCGCTTCCTTTTTCATGCGCCATGGCTCACGAGGTTTCCCTGCGGCTGCGGCGGGGGGAACTTCTGCCTCTTCCCCGTGGGAAAAAAAAACAGAGTTCTGATGAGCATCACAGGTCGTCGCGCCAGAGGAGAACTTCACCAAGGCAGAGGCTTACATCCGCACCGCCGTTTCTAAGGGCTGTTCGCTAGCCGTGCTGCCCGAGTACCATCTAACATCATGGGTCCCCGACCACCCTCAGTTCGTATCCGCCTGCGCGCAGTCCTGGACGTACCTTGAGCGGTATCAGGCCCTAGCCAAGGAGCTAGGAGTGTCCATCGTGCCGGGGACCATTGTGGAGCCGGACGGCGAGGAGGGGACAGACGACCTGGACCTTTTGAACGTTGCATATTTCATCGGTCCCGACGGCGCCGTGCTGGGGCGGTACCAGAAGAAGAACCTGTGGCACAACGAGAGGCCACACCTGACAAAGGGCCCCGAGCCGCACGGCGCCTTTGACACGCCGCTGGGGAGGGCGGGCATGCTGGTGTGCTGGGACCTGGCGTTCCCCGAGGCGTTTAGGGAGCTCATCCGCGACGGGGCGAGGATTATTGTCTGTCCCGCGTTTTGGCTCGCCGACGAGTACAAACGCGACAACGGGGCGGGGAACGGCGCGACCGAGGTGGTGAACCGCGACTCAGAGCGTGTTTTCTTGGAGAATGTCATGGTCACGAGGGCGTTTGAGAACACGGCGGCCGTGGTCCTCGTCAACGCGGGCGGGCCCGCGGGCGGAGGCGGGGTGGAGGTTCGGGAGGAGGGGGCGAGGGTCCGGTATTGTGGTGTCAGTCAGGTTGCGATGCCGCTTGTCGGCGCGCTCGGCAAGCTGGGTGCCGAAGAGGCGATGGAGATTGTCGAGGTCGACTTGGGGCTGTTGGATGTTGCTGAGGAGGCGTATAAGGTGAGGGAGGATATGAGGAAGGAAGGCTGGCATTATGGGTACTCAATTGTGAAGGAATAAGGGATGATCTCAAGACGACAGTGTACGGTTAACAGGACATTTAATATAGATGGCACAGATATCTTGACTCCAGGTGTGGTCATGATGAATGGTGTTGATTGCAACAAGTCTGGTACTGATGGCTCAGTACTCGCTGTCAATATGCCTGGACTTGTAGGCGGATGAAGAGATATATCCCAGCCGTTACTTCATTGAGAGCTCTGCCCGGTCTCATCTAGATAAGCAAGAAACTTCCTTCTCTGCGCGATACGGATCCGCGTGTGCTTCGACTCGAGGTAATCCCAATACTTCTGGATCTTGGCATCCACTGGGCCACCCTCTGAGCCAGCAGCATCGATACGTCTCAGCCGTTTGTCATCGTTGATCGTCCACACTCCTTGCCAATTATTGGGAATGTCCTTGTGCTCCTTCAAGTACTTCACCAGACTTGTGGCCAGTGGTGTGCATAGCGAAGTAGCCATCAGCGCCAAGACGATATCTTCGCGCGGGTAGCCAAACGAGACAAACCGGTCCATGAGGTCCTGAAGCTCGACGGTCTTATCTGTCGATTCTTGGGAGTCGGTCATGGTTTGGTCTGTGGCATCTTTCGGGGCTTCGCCTGCTTCTTCTGCTCCTTTCTCCTCCGCCTCCTCTTCCTCTTCCTCTTCCTCCTCTCCTGCCCCCTCTTCGGCGGGCCACTCTTGAACTGGTGTAAGAGTGGGTGATTGGTTCCGGTCGATCCCCTTTCCTTTATCTCTCTTGTAGGACAGAGGCACAGGGGTCACGGATTCTTCCTCGCCCAAAAGCTGTTGTGACGGTGAAATATCGAACTCGATACTGTCTTGCGATTTGTCAGTTGCGTTGAAGGCATCATCGAAGCCGAAGTCCTGTGTTTCGGGCTCCAAACGACGGGGCTTGCCAGTTAGATCCTCTTCGGGCTCTTCTTCCTCCACGTCTCTCTCTGTGGCCCCCTCAACTTGCTCCTCAATGGCCGTCCACTGTTTGACACTGAGCGAGGGGCTAGGGCCAAGGTTTCCGAAGCTTGCGAGACCCAACTTGTCGTCGGGGGTCGATGGGATCTCGTCGTCTGGGCCTAGGCGCTGTCGCTTCTTCCGGCTGTTTGGTGTCGACGGAAAGCCAGACGTCTCGACAACGATTGCTTGCCTCTTTCTAGAAGCACCGGGGGTGACCGCTTGTTGTACCTGTGGAGGTTCCAGCTGCACATCTGGTACGGCGTCTTCATCCTCGGGCTGTGAAACCTCATCGTCCTCGGATTCTACGTCAGGTTCGTCTAACAGACCGCTGGCTGCGAAGCCGGCGACATGGTCTGCAAAGCATTGTTGTACCAACTGAGCGTTTTCAATGTGGAAGCCCAATTTATCTGCGACTGCTGCCCAGTCGATTTCGACCGCACCTTTCTGGTACTGGTCTCCAACAGCTTGCCACAACAGCCACAAGTCGATAGATTGATCCTTGATCTCGGGATTGGTCTGGGTATCGATATGGTGGAATTTTCGGTAGCCCCACAGTTGGTCGTAGAAATCCTGTCTCGTAACAGCTTGGGACTCTTCGACTTTTGGCTCTCGTGACTGTTCCGCTTCTTCGACTTCCTCTCTGGCGGGGCTTGCACCAGATGAGACGGCCTTGGGTTCAGAAGTCTCCGTGGGCTGGCTGTTAGATTCGGTTGGCCTCTCGTCCTGTGGGCGTCCCATCTGTCGAGTTGGCTCGCCGCTGGGAGCTGTGTCCGGTCGGGTCTTTATGTTGACTGTAGAGGATTCTTCAGGCAAGAGTCCGCTCTCGTCAAGGCTTTCCTTAGAGCTCTCGCGAAGTCGCGGCTCCAATATTTGTGTCCAGTGCCGTTTCCACGCAGCCTCTGAATGACTGGAATGCTACTTAGGTTCAGTCTAGAGCCATTATCACTACAGTGAAAAGCAGACGTACCCTTTCTGAGAATTTCTTGAAGAATTTGGTGTCGGGTGTACCGCCAAACCTGCCTGCCTCGCGAATCAACAAGTCATCCTCTGCCTCTGTGAACTTGGCTCTCTTCGCTGGAGTCAATGGCCTTCTGACGGCTGGCTGATGGGTGGCGGAGCTCGGCCTGACCGTTGCCTTCACCTCTGCCTTCGCCGGAGGCAATTGCGAGACACTTTTTGGGGTAGCCAGAGGAGGCGCCTTCTTCACTGCTGGTCGCGTAGCTTGGGATCGCTTGGAAGGAGTCGCGGCTGCCGGTGGCGGCGGCAATGCGATATCCGGAGCATTAGCTGCCATCTTCTCAAGCTCAGCCGGAGGCAATTTGGATAGCTTCTTTACCCATCGATCTCTCCAAGAATGCCAGGTATGACGATTGTTCTACAACCGTTTAGTAAAAGTAAGAGAAGAATATACGTCGAGAACCGAACTCACTATTCCCTCGAATGTCTGATAGATCTCATTGCCGCTTTTTTTGTTTGCCGCATGCGAAAGCACCCACCTGGCGAGACTTTCATCGTCGGCGGTGTTGAACGGCGTGCGGGTTCCTTTAATAGGGGCAGAATTGGCTGATTTGGCTGTAGGACGGGAGCCACCAGCAGGACGAGAGCTACCAACAGGACGCGAAGCTGTGGGGGTTTGGTGCATCTCATATTTATCCGTTTCTTGTACCGCGCCGTTGTCGACGGAATCTCTGACAAACTTCCAATCGAGCGACCCAGCTGGTTTAGGCCCGGTATCGTAGGTAATGTAGTGATCCGCCTGAGTTTCCAACTTCGCAATTGTGCCGCCGTTTTGCTGCATCAGTCAGCTTCCAGAACGCCTGGCATTCTAGACGTGATTGCCTACCTTGATAAGGTCCAGGATTCTCACTCTGCCGGGTACGCGAAGCGAAACAAAGAATTTCAGATCCTTGAATAGAGTGCCGCGGGCGCCGGGCACTCCATCGTAAGTGATTCCGCCTGCCGACATATCCAGAAGAACATGAGAAGTGTAGCTGGGAAAACTCAAAGGTTGACTTTGTGACACGAGTGAACTTGCCCAAGCTTGTTCAGCCCATGAAATAGGTGTTGCTGTCGCTAAGAGTGGAACTCGCGACGGACAATTACATGTAGAGAGATAGCCTGCCTTGAAGAAGTTTGGTCAAGACGAGAATCGCAATGATGTCCCGAGAAGGTACGATGAAGCGGTCAGTCAAAAGGGAGGGATCGCGCAAACGACGCGCTTGCTTAAGTCGATACTTTGCTTTGAAAGGCGTGTGTGAGGAGCCCACTCAAATGCCCTTCCGTTTTATGAGCCTTAGGAATAGACGTCAGGAATAGACCAAGTGCCTTCGTCTTTTGAAATGAGCTTTTTGCCTCTAATTGACACGGACCGCGATGCAGCTTCGTCTTTGTGACCCGGGCAAGTGCACTGCCAACACTGCAGGCATCTAACGTATTAGTAGAAGGCACGCAGGTGCTCAAGTAAGACGCGCTTCCATGGAAGGGATGCCGCGTGTTCACGTGTGAACTGCTTCTATGCGTTAAGATATGCATTTTGCACATAACATGATTATATACAGTATAGCAACGGTAAACGGTCTGTTCAGATTTGCGCTATGACCTCCCCTATTCGATACAGCGATATTTTTGGTATTCTTCAATGCCATGACGATACTCTCATGTCAAACTATGGTTTTTCCGCGAACGTTCTTTCCACTTGGCTACTAGCTGTGAAGAGATTCTCAAGTCTTGGATTATTCAAGACCTTCCTTGCTGCTGGCCAAGTTACCTAGCTTATTGACGAGGGCCGTGTGCCTACTTTAGGCTGACACCTCAAGGCTCAGGCCCTCTCCACTCGCTACCGGCCACAGCGACTGATAGTGGACTTGTCATCCGTCTGCCTTACCCGCCTCAGCCGGCACATCCAGCCCGAAGTACTGTAAACTAGGACTAAGTGGAACGTCGCCATCTCTGCCGGAATACCCAGACTTCAGTTTTCTCAAGACAATGTGTTGGAAGAAGTCATAACACTTAGTTTTGATACAATGGGCGCCCTCAGGAATGCGGCACTTTTCGTGCTGGCTGTCTCCTTCACAGTCTTCGTCGCCTTCTTTGGCCGACTGCCGGCTCTAAGGTTCGTCATCATGTTTGTTCACTGGCTGGAGAACAGAGGCATCTCACTTTTAGGAACATGGACTCACCATTTTGGCAGACACACGCCAATTGCAACGATGCATAGGATAATGTGGATCCATATCCCAAACGGCTTCCTTGCTGTAGACAAACTCATCACGGGAGGGAGGTTCTCGACGTCCATGATACGCTTTGGCAACTTCATGATGCATGACCGGCACCCTACCGTCGTCGTAAGTGTCCGGGTTTGCTACAGATTCACGAAATTCAAGGCCAGACTGACGCTTTCCAGATCTTCTTCCTGCTCATCCTCTCTGTTTCGGAATACCTATATCTCCCGGGAGCGTGGCCCCAGATTTCGCTCTTGCACAAGATCATAGGCTGCATCGTCATCTTCTTCCCCTATTGGTTCCTGTACCTATCCGTCATGGCCGACCCGGGTTACATCACGGCCGAGAATCACGCCTACTACATGTCCCTCTACCCCTACGACTACTCAATCTTCTACCCCGGACAGAAATGCAGCACTTGCAACCTCATCAAGCCTCCCCGCTCCAAGCACTGCAGCATCTGCAAGCGCTGCGTCGCAAAACTCGACCACCACTGCATCTTCATCAACGGCTGCGTCGGCTACAAGAACCAGCACTACTTCGTCCTGCTCCTGCTCTCCACGGCCGTCCTGACCTCGTACGGCGGGCTCCTCGGCTTCTCGCTCCTCTCCAACAAGATCGCCGCCAACTACCCGCAATGGGCGCTGTGGCCGCCAAAGGGCATGGAAGTCAAAGAGTACCTCCTCATCTGGAGCTGGGCCCTGCAGGACAACGTCGGCATGGGCGCCGTCACCCTCCTCGCGGCCATGACCTCCCCGTTGGTCTGGGGCCTGCTGGGCTACACCTTTTGGCTCATCTACTGCGGCACCACGACAAACGAATCGCT